AATGAATGAATGGAAATCCAAAATCTCTGCAAATGTTCATTAAAATTAATAAAATAATTTTTTTAAAAAACACTGAAAGAAAAAAGAAAACAAAGATTCTCACCACTGGACCAATTGGCAGCATCAGGATGGATGGTGAAGAGATTGAGATTGTTCACAGTTTTGGTTTGCTTGGCTCCACAGTCAACACTCTTGGCACCAGCAGCCAGGAAATTAAAAGATGTATTGCGATGGGAAAGTCTGCTGTTAGGGGCCTCTTCAAAGTACTGAAGGGCAACGATGTCAGTCTGGAGACTAAGGTGCACCTGATACAGCCCATGGCCTTTGCAATCACTTGCTATGCCTCAGAGAGCTGGACAATGACTAGGGAGGATAGCAGGAGATTTGATGCCTTTGAGCTGTACTGTTAGAGAAGAGTGTTGGATATACCATGGACTGCTAAGAAATCAACAGGTTTGTCCTGGAGAGGATGAAGCTGGACTGCTCCTTGGAGACAAGGATTCTGAAGCTTCGTCTGACATACTTTGGACATGTTATAAGGAGAGACCAGTCCTTGGAGAAGGACATCATGCTTGGGAGGGTGGAGGGACAGCGCAGGAGGGGAAGACCCTCGATGAGATGGATTGATTCAGTGACTGGGATAATGCAGGCAGGTGTGTCAGAGTTGGTGAGATTGGCACAGGATAGGGCAGAGTTTAGGGCTGTTGTACATAGGGTCACTATGAGTTGTAGATGACTCAACAGCACGTAACAAAAATAACAACTTGCATCTTGCAAAAGGGTGCTATATATAGATAGCAGTATCACAATAAGTGAATGAATAGATGAATGGATGGATGAATGGATGCTTGGATGGAGAGAATCAGGAGAGAATGTAAGTATATATGTATGTGTATATATGTATATAGATAGATGTATAGATATGTATTGAAGGTTGTTATTGCTAAAGGAAAGAAAGGGAGGGATGGAGAAGAGGTGAGTAGAAAGAAAATTCAACTAGAGAATAGACAACTATTACTCAAAGCCCATCAGCAGATTCCATTTGCCCCAAGGGTTCTCAAAGCTTTAAATGTTTACAAGAGCAGATTACTACAACCTTATCTGACAGAATGCCTGGTGGGTTAAAACCATTGACCTTTTAGTTAACCCTTACATTGTGGCATCATTTCTCCTGATAAACAGCTATGTTGTTACTGTTAGGTGTCATCAAGTAATTTTCAACTCTCAGCAACCCTATGTGCAAACAGAATAAAATCTGGTTGAATCTTATGCCACCCTCACCATCTCTGTTGTGCATGAGCCCTATCGTCAGCCTCTGTGGCGATTCATTTCATTGAGAATTTTTCTCTTTTTCATTCACCCTCTATTTTACCTAGCACAGGGTCCTTCTTGAGGGACTAGCCCCTCCTGGTAACACACCCAAGAGAAAGGTTCACCATCCTTCTTTTTTTTAATTTTATTTTATTCCATTCTTGCTTCTAAGGAGCATTCTGACAGCACTTCTTTGAAGATAGATTTGTTTATCCTTTTGGCAGTCCATGGTGCAGTCAATATTCTTCACTATCACCACAATTCAAAGGCAACAAACATGTTTGTCTTGGAGAGGGTGAAACCAGGCTGCTCCTTGGAGGTAAGGATTCTGAAGCTCCATGTGACATACTTTGGACATGTTGCAAGGGGGGACCAGTCATTGGAGAGGGGCGTCATACTTGGGAGGGTGGAGGGACAACACAGGAGAGGAAGACCTGGGATGAGATGGATTGATTCAGTGACTGGGGTAATGGAGGGAGGTGTGTGAGAGACAATAAGGTTGGCTCAGGATAGAGCAGGGTTCAGAGCTGTTGTATAAAGGGTTGCTATGAGTCACAAGCAACTCAACAACACATAACAACAACATCCATTGTCCAATTTTCACACACGTATGGCAGCATACCTTAATAATTACTTTAAGTTTACTATGTCACATATATCTAATAAGTGCTTTGTGTTTGTGACCTAGTATATATTCACAACAATCCTAAAAGGTAAGTACAACTATTATCCTTCTACAACAATTGAAAAAGCAGTTTTCTGAGCAGATGATTTGCCCAAAGTCATATGACTTGCATGTATCCATGTCAAGTCCTAACACAGCTCTGTTGACTTTGAGAACCCTACCTCTTCACTTTCAACCATCCTGCCGACTATCCTCCTGTGTTGTCCTTTCCCATAAGCCACTGAAATTCTCTTCTGAGGCACTTTGCAGAGTTTTCACTTTTCAGGGGAGGATTTGGAATTATTTCGTAATTCATTGAACTTACAGAATGTAAGTTCTAAGTTCTAAGAAGATAGTTACATCTTTGGGTTTTATCCCTCACTCTTAGAAAAATGTCTGACACATAGCAGGTGCTCAGTAAATACATGATTACCAACTATTTATCTCACCAGCCGAAGCCAGCTGAATCTGACTTATCAACTAGCTCCCAGCTCATGACTGGAAGGTAGATCTGCTCCAGTGTTTGTAAGGCTGTGAACTTTCAGAAGCAAATTGCCAGGCCTTTCGAGGCACCTCTGGGTGTGTTTGCACCGTCAACCTTTAGATTAGTAGGTGAGTATTTAACTATTTGCCCCAAGAAGGGACTTCAATTCTGGTGCTAGAGAAGAGAATTGAACACACCATGGACTGTCCTGGAGAGGGTGAAACTAGGCTGCTCCTTTGAGGCAAGTATTGTGAAGCTCCATCTCACATACTTTGGGAATGTTGTCAGAAGGGTCCAGTCCATGGAGAAGGAAGTCATGCTTGAGAGGGTGAAGGATCAGTGTAGGAGAGGAAAACCCTGCATGAGATGGATTGACACAGTGACTGTGGCAATGGGGTCAGGTGTGTCAGAGGTTGGCTCAGGACAGGGCAGGGTTCAGAGCTGTGGTCCACAGGGTGGCTGAGAGTAGTTGTTAGATATAAAAAAGAGTGTGAGGGAGCGAGGGAGAGAAAAAAAGGAATTGGTCCCAAGAAACGAACAGGCCTTTATTGCATGGTCTGAGAGAGACGCCAAGTGACCCAGCAGCATGGCATGGAGACAGGATCCAAATGGCATGCGGCCAGTTTGGGGGGTTTCCTTTTTACTTTACTTTTTAAAAATTTATTTTATTTCATTATTTTTTACGTGTACTGTCAAATCAGATCTGGCTTGTACAGGAGGAGATGGTTCCTCCTTCTCCAGGAGAGCATCTGGTGGATTCGAACTGTGCATCTCTGAGATTGCACTTGCAGATTCTTGCCACTAGGCCACCACAGCTCGCCGGGGGTTTCCTTTTTATAGGGGTCCTGGGGAGGACTAAGATGGTACTTCTTGGAATTTGGCATGTTAATTTAGTTAGGTTTTAGCTTTTTTTTTTTTCCCCCTCTCAAGCTCGGACTCTTATCAGGATCCATTGTTTGATCTGGTCCTTAATGTGACCAGCTCAGGTTTCTCAGGAAGTGGTCAAGCTTGGGGATGATGGGGCAACTGCCATATTCTCCCTTCAGTAGTCGATTCAACTGCACCTAACAACAACAACAACAACAAGGACTCTTATCCACCTGGCCACTGCTTCTTAAAAATGACAACTGCCAGCATTCTCTGTAAGTCCTTTCTCCACACTCCCTCTCAGTTCTACCTGCCTCACTTTTACAGTTCAGCCTCATTAGTCAGCCTTAACCTAAAGCTGGACCAGTGAGCATTAAAGGCCAGGGCCATTTTTTAGTCCCAGATGATCCCTGAACTCAGCAAATGCTGATCAAATGACTGTCTCTCTCTGGCTTAAGATGGAAAGGCGCCAGGAAAGATCGAAGCAGCTACCCTGATGAGTTACACTCAGGCTGCTAGAAGGGATTTTGTGGCAGGAGGGAGGGGGGCAGGAGATTGAATGTCTCCGTGCCTCGGAGCGGCAGCGTGATGGATGACCTGTGGAAAGCCCGCCTACGAAACACGCCTGCCCTGCTGAAACAGTATCTCTCCCCACTGTCCAGAGTTCTATTTCCCGGAAGACTCCCTGGATCGTGCTCTGGACTGAGACGTGGTGCTTTGATGCTCCCAAAGGAGGTCTTGGTACGGATTCCCCAGAAGAGGAAGGAGCAGAGAACCGAAGGGAGATTGAACCCTCCTCCTGAAAGCCTAGAGACCTCATGGGAACTGACAACCCTTTAAGGGTTTCCAGACTCCTTTGCGCAGCCCACTAATTTTCAGGTTTGGTGCACAGGGAGGCCTCGGTCTCTCCTTCCCCACTCCTCCCTCTCTCACTCTCTCATAGTAAAGTGAACCTCGGGCCGCGCTCTCTCCGCACTCAGCTTCTTCTGGCACAAAGTCGCTGTGGTACCAGCCTCCCCTGTTGATTCGAGGTTGTAAACAACTGTGAGTCCCCGAGCAAATGACCAAATACAGTAGAAAGAAGTCAGTGAAGCTCGCCGTGGTCACAGTGACCACCACCCGGGCATGGAGACGTGAAATCAAGTGTTGGAACTTGCCTGGAGCTGGCCTGAACCCGCAATGGCCTTGTCTCTGCTTGCCTGATGATCTCTGCCTCTGATCTCCTTCTGCCAGCCTGTGTCTACATTTTTTGTATCTTTTTCTCATTGCGTGGCCCCCTTGTCTTTAAAAGGCTAAGCGCTCGGTACTAAATTTGGTCACGCAGCGCTCCAAGATTCCCTGGAATGTCCTCAAGTTTCAAACAGCTCTGGCTGCGAGGCGGGCCCGCCCCCTGCGCGGGGATTGGCCTCTGCGGTCGGGGCCCGGCAGCGCTGCGCTCTCATTGGTCAGTGGGTGGCCGGTCCTGGCCCGCGGGTCCCAGCTGCGAGGAGGCTGCAGCCTCCAGTTAACACTTCAACACCTGTGTGCCGCGCGGAGGGGCCAGACCGCTGCCGTCCTCCACCCGGCTCGGGTTTGCTCCCCAGCGCTCCACTCCATTCACGGTCCTCTGCCCGCCTGTCCGGCAGCCTCCCACAGCTGCCCCCACAAAAGCTGCATCATCCCCCTTTTGCCAACATGTCCAAGGTAGCCAAGTACCGCCGGCAGGTGAGCGAGGACCCCGATATCGACAGCCTGCTGTCCACCCTGTCTCCCGAGGAGATGGAGGAGCTGGAGAAGGAGCTGGACGTGGTGGACCCCGACGGCAGCATCCCCGTAGGGCTGCGGCAGAGAAACCAGACGGAGAAGCCGTCCACCGGCACGTACGACCGGGAGGCGATGCTCGACTTTTGTGAGAAGGAGACCAAAAAGCTGATTCAGAGGGAGATGTCCATAGACGTGAGTGTGAGCGGTCCTGGAGGGGCGCAGGGGGCAGGCAGGGGGTGTGGAGACCTCCCCCAGGGCCTGCGGGGCTGCTTCGCGTAGATTACGTGTCTTGTTGGCAAAGGTCTGAGCTCCTGGTCCCACTAAGCTAGGACCCTTGCGCCTAATGTCTTATAACCAGAAGTTGTAGCCTGCGGAGGAACTCAATATTCCACAATATCCAGTAGGGCCACAGGCAGAATGGTGACAAGAGGGGGTCCTTGAGGTATTCTTGTTCTCTTCATTCCATCCTGGTCCCACCACACTCGCCCCCTCTCCCCCTCCACATGCCATACTACTGAGAGGAAACGAGGACAGAAGGGTGCTTGCCGTCCCTTGTCAGGCACCTCGGAAAATACAGCTAAACACTCCTTCTAGAGAAAGCCTCCATTTTTAAGTACAGGCACTGATGGTTTGAGGAGGCAGGTGGGTGCCCAAAAGCCATGGGAGGCATGCAACCAAGGGTCTGTGCCTTAGCCTGGTGGCTTCAATTTTATCTCTGGGTAAGATGGGATTTTTCTGTATCCCCTAGAGCGTCCCCTTGAGGGAGCACCCCTCTTTTTTAAAATTTATTTTATTTTATTTTTTTTCGGTGCTAAGAACTTTCACAAACTAGCAACAGCTCTTTGCTAGGAAATGAAGAGACTTCCCAGCAATGTTCGGCCACTAGGCGGGGTCAGGGCAAGGGGCAACTGTGTTTGAAGCATCGGTCCTCATCCAGGATCCACTGGACACACAAACCTGCTTTCTGTTTTTCTGGGGTTGGAGGTTGGCATGGCGGAATCCATTTGCTCACTGTTGGGCAAAATATGAGTTACCTTTGGATGAATTGGGCTAGCATTTTAAGAGCAGGATCCCTTTGTTCACAGAAAAGAGTAATCTGAAAACAAAACAAAAACAACAACAAACCACCAAACTTAAAAAACCCAAACCCAACTGTCCAAAGCCTTTGTACTTGTCCCCTTCTAACCAGTCACCTGCCTCTGTTGAGTCCCCTCTGACTCCTTGTGACCCCGTATTTGTCAGAGGAGAACTGAGCTCCATGAGGTTCCCAATGGCTGATTTTTTGAAAGTAGATTCCCAAGCCTTTCCTTGAAGGCACCTCTGAGTGGACTTGAAACACCAGCCTTTGAGGTTGACAGTCAAGTGCAATAACATGTGCAGCACTTACTGATCACATCTCTTGTGGATTAGCCATTGTCTTGCCAGAAAAAAATTAGCCACAATTCCTTTTTTTATAAAAATAAAACAAAAGTCATTAGTGGTTAGTTGCTCACTGTTGGGCAAAAGATAAAAGTTATCTTTCAATGAATTAGTGGCTAAAGTCAATCAGTAAAACCCAGATAGATGCCCAGAGCAAGGGTTACCAACATCACAGAGCTTCAAATGACACACTAACTCTCACAGAGAAAAAATAGGAAAGAGGAGACTGCCATGTGAAACTGCCATGAATGTCTGGCCAGACAGGAAACTGTACTGACTGCTAGTCACAGAGCATGTTGTGGACTTAGCTCCTGACTCCTTGTGTGAAGTGGGTGGGAGAATGAGGAGCACAGTGAAGTGCAGTAGACTATTGCTTCCTCCCCCTGCCCATATTAAAGGTGTTGCCAAGAAGTCAGAGGTAGGAGGGAGACATATGCTCACAAACTCATGATCCTCTGGGCAAGTCATGATGTCTTATTGCAGTGGGGGCCCCAGCCCCTCAAGAGAATTGTCAGGAAAACTCACAGAAACAACTTTGGTACATTTATCCATCGGCCACTTGGACTATCTGTCACTCTGAAGTGTTACTTACTCCTGGTCCCTTAGTCCTGCATCTGTGACTACTTTGTACCCCATGACTTCTGGTCTTCAGAAAGATGTAGCTGAGGTTAAAGTCAAACACAAACCAGGATGCTTAAGGTGCAAAGAGTATGAGAACCTTTCAAGCCCTTAGAAATCCCATCCTCACAAGCCTTTTCCCTTAGTTAATATCACAGCAAGTTCCTCCCTGGGTACCTCCCTCCTTGCTTCTGCAGACAGAGCTCAAGCCTGGGGCCAGGGTAGTGAGTTGTGTACGGCTGTGCGTCTGCCAGCTGAAGGCACCTTTAGGACCATTTTCTCCCCAGGTGGATGGAATGCTCATGTCTCCTCTAAGGGCACAATGATTGATGTCAAGTCCATTTTGACTCACAGTGACCCTCAGGACAAAGAGCTGCTCCATAGGTTTCACAAGGTTATAATTTTTTAAAAGAGCAGACTGTCTCATCTTTCTCCCACCGAGCGGCTAGTGGTTCCAAACAGCAGACATTTTAGTTGACCATTCAGCTCTTGACTCACTGCACCACCAGGACTCCTTGTCCAAAGGAGGCTGGCAAAATGACTTTACGTTCAAGCTGCATACTAAGCTGTGAACAGAGGCAAATCTGGGCAATTGGAAATTAACATTAAAAAATGCCTTCTTTAGCATAATGAGCAATATAGTCACATGCAGTCAAGATCTTGGAGTTCAAGGATCAGAAAAACCTAGTTTGAGAACTAGCATGTCTGACTGCCAGGCTGCCTGTATATCTAACTCACAAGTTACCTAAACTGAGTGTCGATGCCCTCATCTGTAGAACTGAAGACATTTCATAGGTTTGTGTGTGCAAACTAAAACAGGTAATAACGTACTTAGCACATAGCTTGTATGTAATCAGCGCTTAAAAAAAAGGCAGCTATAAAATTTTTCATTAAATTAAGGAACCCAGAAGGTGGCGATGTGAGAGAAAGGAACTCTTTCCCCCTTCCCAGCCCTCCATTTGGCTTAGTCTCAGGCAGGTGTCACAGCTTGTCTGTTCTATTAGTAGCCAGAGAAACAAGCTTGGATGGTGCAGAGGGTGGGAGTGTGTGTTACAGACATCACAGAGACAGAGCACTGAGTAGGGTTTCGGGCCAGTAGACTTGGTCTCTTCCTCCCCAGAACTGCCTTCTCAGCCGCTGGCTGGGAGCTGTCACCTTTGCTACGTGTGAGAAATTACAAGTCAACTAAAACAGATATATGCGCCTCTTCCTCTCTACCCAGGGAAGAAGAGGGAGGAGTCTAGTGGAGGCTTCCAAGGCCCTGGATTTTCAGGAGATTGCCAGGCCTTTCTTCTGAGGCTCCCCTGTGTGGACTTCAACTGAAGTTAGCAGCTAATCATGTTAACCATTTTGCACTACCCAGATTCTGGGCTTAACACAGAATGAAAGCTTCTCCTTCCCTTCTCCCTCCCTCCCTCCCTCCCCTGAGTAGGAACATAGCTATTAAAACTAATAAAACCAAGTATGGATTAGGGAAAGTAGATCTTACCTGGATATTGGATGACATTAAGAAATTATTAATTCCTCTCAAATGCCACAATGGTATTTCAGATAGATCTTTTAAAAGATTCTTATCTTTCAGACATAAAGACAGTATTATTTATGGGGGGCCATGGTAAGGTGTAGAAGAGTTGCTGTAAAGCATTTTAAATATGAGGGGAGTTGGGAGAGTCAAGATTGGCCATGAGTTGAAAACCAATGGAGCTACCAGTTATGGATCCACATGGAGGCTCCTTGTACGGGTCTACTTTTTCCACTTATGTTTGAAATTTTCCATATAAAAAGCTTATGAAAACTAGAAGCCAAGTATAGAAATAGGCCCTGGGTGGGTCTTAAGTCCTAGTCTCCTGGGAAGAGGGAGCCCCAGGATTCAAACTGTAGCTGCCTGGGCAGGCGGGTCTGGACTAGGGAAGAGGCCTCTGGCTGCTTCTCAGTGAGACTGACTTCTCCAGGGAGCTGAGAACCTTCTAGATTGACTGGCTTTCCCCTCAACATTGTCCACCCCTCTCCATGCCTTTTTCTGGTTAACTCCGATTTGGCCTTCAGGAATTAGGACCACATCCCCATCATGACATGAAGTGAGGCCCTTCTCTGGGCTCTCCACGAGCATTGTGTACCAACCCAAAGTGGTATCCCTCTGTTGTGACTGCCTGTTTTCTCATCTGTCTCCCTTGCCCCTGTGTGATTCTGGAGGAATCAGCTCTAACAGGACCTGGCATGCAGTTTGATCGTCAATCTTTGTGTTTTGAATGAATATCATCTAGGGCCAGGGAGACAGAACAGGTGGAGCTGGGTGGTGCTGGCCATTGGCTGCTTCTCTGCTTCTCTTCCGAAAGGCAGCCCTCTCGGGAGGACAGGCAGTTCCATCTGGCCCCCGAGGAACTCTTCTCCAGCCCAGGTGGAAGACAAAGCCCCTGGCAAGCGCTGAGCCAAAAGTGCAATGAAACCGCTGTCCTTGGCTCAGGTTTCAGGAACCGGATCCCAACAGGTCAACTCATGTGTTCTCTCTTTCCTTCCCGAGTGGGAAAGAAAATCTCCAGCCTGCCTCCCCCATCCTTCTTGGCGTGACCAGGGGTGGAAGATTAGCACCTGCATCCAGCCAGGAGCAGGGGCAGCTGAGCTGGGGGTTGGAGGAAACTCTTAGGTTCTCCCTTGAGATAAACTTGAGAAGCAAACCAGACACACCCCATTTGCCAAGCCCTGCTCGACATGAGCCTCCTGACCTTCCCCCTGTTTGCTCAGCTCACAGCCCAGCAGCCCCCTCGCTCCACCAGTTCTGGTCCCGGCTCAGTGATCTTGGTATCTCTGCAGGGATGGGAATGCCAGGAAGGCCTGGGGCCTCCTAGCACAAACCCTCAAAATGCCCTTTTAGGCCTCCAAGGGCTGAGTCCTGTCAGGACTGCGCTGGACAGCACGCTCACTGATTAAAGGAGATTAACCCCAACTGGTACACACCCAAAATAGCACTGGAAACCAAGGTGGAGAGGGCAGGAGAGGTGATGGGGGCCTGGCGGCCCAGGGAAGCAAAGGCAGCTGCCCAGAGGGAAGCAGACAAGTTTAAATGCTCCCTGGAATTTGATAGCCACCTCCATCCGGAGCTTCCAAAAACAGTTGAGTGTTTCTCGTTTCTCGCAGTGGGTGGTTGAATCCACAGT